AGGAAGACCTGCATGCCTTAAATAGATTAATGCCCTCCCTTCTCCCTGTCTTCCAAAATGCCCATCATCATGCAGAGCTCTCACTCAAAATCCACGTGAAAATATTTCTCAAATTAAGTGAATCCAGATTGCTACCTTTGCCTATTTGAAGCAGTTGATGGAAAATGTATTACTTTAATACAATTCACTAGGTTCTGGTATCAGAAAAAAAACACCTGTTTGGTGCTCTCTTGAAGCTCACATTCACACGAGTGCTAGCTCTCCCCAGCCCTGTACTTTAAATCAAAACTATAGTTATTACAGTGGTTTTCAAACAGTTTTAGCTCAGAGCAGTGAGATACACTTTAAAAAACGCTGTTTTCTGATTTTCTATCAAAATACTCAAAACTCTGTAGAGCAAGCAAGCAGACACTTCGCAAAATCTGACAGCTCAAAAGGCATCCAAAGATCAAGAGAATTAAAACTAGTCACCAAAGCAAATGCTGCATTAAACCAGAAGTGTGAAGACATGGCGAAATGACACACCTCCAGTATAAGCAGTAACGGAGGCAGAATGTTTTACTAGTGGTTTCTTTTGTTTGCTCACACAGTCATGAGGCATTCATTATCATGATACAAATTGCAAAAGTGTTCATTTGAAAACAAGAGGAATAGGGTACTCAATTATTCCAGTTAAGATCGCTTATTGAGTCTAATATAACGTTAAACTGCTGTGATTTTCTTGCAGTTAAGGTCTGCATTAAAAGGGAAGAAGTTTATGCAGTTTAGAAGGTGATGCTGACAGCTTCCTAAAGGCAGGCTTTACGTAAGACTTGGCTTATTTTATTTCATAATTTGCAACATACTGAACAAGACAGGCATCACCACTCAATCCCAACAAGAAAGCATTCGCATAAACTTCCTCCACCTACACTTGAGCTCTCAGCCAGATATAGTCCTTGTGTTTTCTGTAAAAAGGATTGTTCTTGGTTATTGCTGTATTACAGGAAACAGGAATATTTTCAGGAGAGTTAGGGTGTGTATTTTGAAGATGATGTGATTTACAGAAAGTCCTAAACCCAGGTTTTTTTACCCCCTTTTTTTTTAATCATCTGCTGCTTCTGTACAGCAAAACTAGAATCCTGTTTCTTCCAAACGGAGCAATACCTTATGATCCTCTCCCTGCTTTGAGCATATCAAGAGCATGTATGCCTCTTTGCTGTGGTTTCTATCAGCAGGTAATGGCCCATAAATTCATTTATGACAGCACCTTGAGCAAGAGTGCCTACCTCAACACATGGAGCTGGGAGGACCAAGGAGGTCCATGAAAAAAAAACAAGAAAAACAAGGGGAACACAAAGGGGAAATGAAAACAACTATCCTCATTTGTTCTCTGCATGGGTCATATGTTTCTGACAACAGTGGGTTTGTTTTCAAAGAGCTGTAATTTAAGTTGACAGGCAAGCTTATTAGAGGAAAAAACCCCTTCACCCAAACACAAAAATCTATCCAAATGAGATTTTTAATTTAGATCTGTCTCTGGAATGAATGAAGAGGTTTTGCATGTGGGAGAACTGGAGTCTGCATTGCTACCAAAGGAATCACAATGTGCAAATCCACGTTATCTGTAGTGCTGAGTCACATCTAGATGGTGGATGTGCCTTACCAAATACCACACCCTGGGAGTGTTTAAGCACTTCCCCTTCCACCAGAACACTGCATTAAAAAAAGAACTCAGACAATGTGACGAGAAGTGATCTTTTCCTGCTGCACAGTTTACATACATTTAAGACTTTCACAAACATTTGGCCAAAAATTGTACACCATAGTATTTCCCAAGTCACAAACACTACACCAACCATTCTTACAGGATATGCAGTCCAAGCAACCCCAGTGCTACCTCTCACTCCCACACACCCTCCCAAAAGAAGTGTTGAGCCCTTGAAGGCTTTGACTGTAATTTTGCCGCCTCTGTGAAGTTGCAGCTAGCCTTCTTCATTTCTCAGGGACTCAAAAAACCATTTAGTTCATCTATTCACTGTACAACATTTTCAGTAAGTGCCTTCACACCCTGTTAATAAGAAGAGTTAGTTCGCTTCACACCACAGAGGTGGTACTTTCTGGGTTCACACGCATCAACCTTGAAGCATTTCTCAGATCCTGGAGCTGCTTGGCTGGCTTTCCAACTCCTTCCTCAAATCTTTTTTCCACAACAGGAAGGACAGTTTCATAAAGGAAGGACGCATTCTGCCTAATGAATGCTTTCTTCTCAGGGTCCTGTTCACACCGTAAACTGTAATCAACGTGCTGCACAGCCACGAGGATGATTTCCACAAGACTCTCCAAAAGAACCATGTGTAGCTCTGGAAAGTAAAGCTTTAACGCTTCCTCCAAGAAGGCCATAGTCTGCTTAGTGAAAGCCACCACAGTATAGCTGAGGTTGACCCAGCAGTCATCACCAGTGTACTGGTCGAAATTCCCCACCCCGCAGCTCCTCATCTCCTCTCTGAGCTTCCCCAGAGCCTCCGGGGTCATGAGGTTCATCCTTCTCCACATCTCCTCAGAGTTGCGGTGCTTCGTGGCCTCGATGATGATATCCTTGTAGCTCTGTAAAGCACCTTTGATATCCTTTACCAGGAGGGCGTGAATGATGAAGGTGAGATCCAGTCCAATCTCGCTGAGCTGCTTGCAGTGCTCTTTGGCGACCTTGGGTATTAATGAAAAGCAAAGCGTTAGTAGTTTGCATGCCCCCTTTACACTCTAAATGTTTACTTCTTTTTTATTGTTCTCAGAAAACAGGGAAGCATTTGTCATCTTTCATTTGCTTCTTGTGCCTTAAGAAAATCCTTATTAATAAAGAAATCAATAAATGAAAGACAAGCCATGCATGTCAAAAATACTCTGGACAATTACTTTACAACTCCTTCCCTCCCCCATCAGTAGCTACTACAAGTAAAGATACCATAACCTGAGAGAGCTGGTCCCACAATAAGATTAAGGAAGCATAGTCCAGAGCAGGCTTGGAAAACAAACAAAAAGCCTTCAAAATATTCATCATTCAGATGTGTTTTTACAAATTTTAAGATCTCCTACTGGTCAAAGGCAAATTAGGAAAGAACACATTCTGTGTTTCTGATAAGGGCAGCGTTTTTCTTGCTGTGCATTCTCATCGTAACATTTTCTTCTGATAAACTGAAAAAGGCACAAACCAACCCCACACACCTACGGACTATTCAATGCAGGAAACCTCTCCAGCAACGCTCTGTCAACAATTTCTAGGGTTAGAAACGAAGGCTTGCAAACCTTATAGCTTGCGTTCAGGCCAGCTCGTCACACCACCCTCTGTGGTCACACCTACCTTCACACACTCCGCTGCAGTCGACAAGCTCTCTTTGCTGTCAAACACCTGCTTACTGAAGGCATCCACGAACATCCTCATGGAGGAGCGGGCCCACACAACGAAGGCAGAGTAGCAGCCGTTGTTGCCAGCGAAGTCCGTCTCGAACTCCCTCGCCGTCTCCAGAAGGCTGGTGAAGAAGACGTGGCAGAGTTTGTGGATGTAGAGCAGCGTGGCGCCCTCGATGCGCAGCTGCCGGATGGCCGTGTGCACCGCAGCCGCCCGGTTCTTCAGGAAGAGCTCGCACGCCTTGGTGGACTGGCCCAAGCGGATGAGCTGGGACACGGCTCGGCGGGTGGCCCGCGGCCCTCCTCGCAGCGAGCGGTCTGGGGACAGCTCGAACACCAGCACGTCCGTCAGCTGCCGGACACGCTCGTCCACCTTGGCCCGCAGCTCCTTCACGGGCTGGCTCACGGGCTTGTCCGCCAGGTACTCGTTGAGTTTATCTAGCAGGTCCACCGCCCCCTCGAAGTCCCGCTGAGCGATGCAGACGTCCAGGTCCTCCGGCAGCTCCTGGATCCACTCGAGCGAGAGGTCGACCGCCTCTTCCTCGGCAGAGGGCTCTTCCTCCTCTTCCTCATCCTCCTCCTCGAAGGGGTTGGTGGACTCGGGGGGCGTCGGGGCGGGCCGGGGCATGGCCTCCTGCTCCAGCCGCCGCTTCTCGCTCAGGGCCCGGTTGCGCTTGGTCTCCTCCAGCACCTCCAGCCACTCCTTCTTGATCTTGGCGTTCTCGGCCTGGAAGATGCGGCTCTCGGGGAACATGAGCAGCTTGAACATGTCCTTCATGGGCGGGTTGTCCTTGACGTTGACCACCGCCAGCCCGTCCAGCGGGTAGAGGGCATCGTAGCGGTAGGCGCCGCGGCGGTTGGGCAGGGCGGTGGCCACCAGCAAGCAGTCGTTCATCAGGAAGGCGTGCACCCGCTGGATCTGCGCCATGTGGTCGGCGTCGTACTCCAGCAGCTCGCCGTTGTACACCAGGAACTTGCCGGGGCTCTCGGGCAGCAGGTCGCGGCAGCCCTCCACCTTCTCCAGGAGGGTGGTGAGCGTCCGCTGCCGCCCCTCCTCGCCGCCCCCCGCCGCCTCCTTGCCCGACAGCGGCAGGAACGGGTCGGAGGGCGCCAGGGCGGGGTCGTCGCGGTCTGCCTGGAGGAGCAGGGCCTGCGTGACGGCCTCCATGATGCCCTTCTGCTCGGTGAGGATGTGGCTGAGCTGGTACATCTCGCTCTCCAGGTAGCTGATCTCCCGCGCCGTCTCGATGAACTGCCGGTAGTTCTGGTAGACGTTGCGCTTCAGGCTCTGCGCCGTCTCCTCGCTCAGCGCCTGGATGCGCTGCCGGTGCTCCTGCAGGTCCCGGTCGCCGTCCGACTGCTGCGACAGCTGCTTCACGTACTCGCCCGCCACGAAGCCGCCCGACTCCAGCTGCCGCCTCAGCCGGCTGCCCCCCCCCCCGCCGCCGCCTTCCCCCAGCGCCATGGCCCCGCTCCCCTCCGCTCCCCTCCGCCGCTGCGCCTGCGCAACCAGCGCCGCGTACGCCACCTGCGCAGCGCAGCGCCGCGGCCGCCCCTAGCCCCTACGTAGCCCCGCCTACGCGCGCAGCGCTGCGGACGCTGTTTGCGCACGCTCTTTGCGCACGCACGCCGCCTGCGCCACAGCGGGCGGGGGAGCCGCCAAGATGGCGGCGGCTGTGGCGGAGGGGGAGGACGGGGACCTGGCGCTGGCGCTGCAGCTGCAGGAGCTGTGGGAGGCTGAGGACGGGGAGGGGGTGACCTCCGCCCAGCCCCCGGCCGTGCCCGAGCCGCTCCGGCCGCTGTCGGTGGTGGATGAGGCGTGGGAGCTGCTGGACCCCAGCCCCGACGTGCGCGGCCTGTTCGTGCAGCTGAACGAGGCGCTCTTCTGGGGGCGCCTGGCCGCCGTGGAGGTGGCGTGGAGCCCCCGCATGACGCTGTACGGCCGGGGAGGGGGTGGGAGCCGCGGGCAGACCCGTGTCCTGCTGGCAGGGGCCGTGCCGGGCACCCCTCGGTCCCTGCCGCAGGGTTTGGGGGGTCCCGGGTGCGGGCAGCAGGTGTGCGGCGCAGGGTGCCGGAGTGCTGCCCCCTCTGCTCCCTAAATTGGGGTGTTGGGCTGCTAGAAGCGTAAACCGGTGCCGACGCCAAAATTTGAAATGGTTTCTGAGCGATCAATCCACCACGCAAAGGTTCAGGGAGAGTCAAAAGGAGAGGGAGGGTGAAATCGCGGCAGCCCGAGTTCAAATCCACAACCCCTGCTTCAGATGTTTCTTTCCACCTGGAGTTTTAATGAAAGCAGTGCTTTACTTCCTGAACATGTTAGCTTGGAGTATTCTTTGTGTATATGTATATTTTTTTCAGGATTGCCAGCTTTTAATTAAGGGTTTGCGAGAGATCTAATAAATTATACTTTGTCTTCGTAGTTTCATCACAGTTTATTAAGAACAACTTGTGAGCTCTTATTCCTTGCTTAATGACGTCGAGTTCTTTGAGTAACTACCAAAAGTGTGTTTCATATTCAAAGTTACTTAGCATATGTTGGAAAAGGCCATCATTTTAACTCCCAGTTCTCAACTTACTTCACGTAGAAAATCCTTATTAATAAAGAAATCATAGAAAAGCACATAGCTTTCAATATCTTGTTTCTGTGTCTCTTTCAGGTGTGCTGGAGTGTGCAGATACGAAGGAAAAGGTGGAATGTGTTCTATTCGTTTAAGTGAGCCACTCCTTAAGCTAAGACCAAGGAAGGATCTTGTTGAGGTATTTGAAAATTGCTCATGAATATGCACATAAAATGTAGTGCATGTCACCCCCACATTTTACATTTTGTAACGTAATTTTTATATACGAAGACTTACAGATCGTAGAACGGTGGTGTCTATTGCTGTGTTTGTGTTGCTTGTGTGGGCAACGTCATTTTAGCTGCATGCTCCTAAATGAGCAGCTCCGACTAGGAGTCTAAAGTCACTTTTTTTAAACTGATGGGGAAAAAAAAAACCAAAACACTTCTTTGCTTCTAAATTATTCTCTAATATTGAAAGCAGAATAATCTGAAAGTGCAAGGAGGAAAATGGCTGTAGCTTCATTTTTTAGGCCAGTAGCAGAAAGCAAGGATACAGAATATGACTGTAAATATAATTTTGTGCTGCTTGTTATGCATCTGTCAGACTGCTCATTTGAGTTGGCTTGACATTTAGATTTGCCAAATTAAATAGAATTTCAACCTTTTTACAAGCATCTCTTTCTTTGGTTGTGGAGGGGATGACCCCTTCAATGATCTAACTGGGTCTTGAGGATTACTTCTCCTTTTTGGAATGTCTTTTATTAAGTATTGTATGGAAATTGAGTTGTTCTGCCCATCGTATTAAGTACTGTGTTTTTATGACCCAAACTTAACACACAAATGCGTGAAAATTAGATCAGTACTGATATAAACATAAAAGAGTAAAATACTTCAGCTTAATTCTGAAGCTATATGTAATGCTTTTCAGTTAACAACTAATAATTTTCATCGTTTCAGACGCTGTTACATGAAATGATCCACGCCCTGCTTTTTGTAACTAATAATGACAGAGACCGTGAATCTCATGGGCCGGAGTTCTGCAAACACATGCGTCGCATTAATCGCTTGACTGGAGCCAATGTCACAGTAAGCCTAACCCACTTGATATAATACAGTTTTTTTTTCTGAATTTGGTAACAAATTTTTCGATATTCCGGATGTGGTTTGAGTAATCTAGTTGTTTTTCCTTCACACTCTGCGGTTGACACCATGACAAATTTGCATTCAAGTCTGAAAATTTCATGGTTATTTTGTTGTTTGTTGTTGCGTGATGGAGAGAACAAGTTGAGGAAGATGCAGTGAGTTTTGAGTCATGTAATTACCATACGTGCCCTTTGTACAAATTTCCCTTTAAAGTTTGTTTTAACCTTGAAACAACTTACAAGTTCAGAGACAGAGTAGCTCCACGCTCAGGATAGTATCTGTGGAAAAGCAGTCTGTTTTAGTTGGGATTTATATCAGTAGAGGCTGATGAGTGGATGATACTTAACATTTGTGTCCCTGGTAAGATCAATTCAGATAATAGCTGGAGCGAGAATGCAAAGCTAGTATTGTTTACAATCCATTCTAAACAATATGTTGTTTAGGTTGTAATACTAGACATGCTTTTAAAGTGGTTTTATTGCAGTTCAAGCTCGATAGCCAGGACATATTTCTACATATCTTGTCGTTTTTAAAACTGTTTATTATCTAAAGATCCAGCCAGGTTCTGCTGTTTTAACCAGCGATGTGAAAATCATGGCAGTAATATATCTTCGGGATTAAAATGTAAAACCAAGATGTGGGGAGCAGGGAAAAGTTGTTTCTCATAGTAGTGGGTAGAATAATTTTTTTTCAGAGTGGGGCAGTAAACTTCAGTGGTACAATGCAAGGGCTTTTCAAATCACAGAGCACTTGTCAGTGTTCAGGCCCCCTAGGAGAATAAAACATGTTTATTTTGCAAAGAAGGCACTTGGAGAAGGACTTTCTACTGTGTCTATTCCATTAGCAGATAAACTCTATTTCCTTCTGGACACATTACTGACGTGCAGAAGTACTTTCCTTGATCTGTATTATGAAATAATGGAATGCTTGTGTGTGTATATGTGAGGCTTGTAGAGATAATGACTGATAAAATTAGAAACTTTTGTGTGACTGGTGCTCCTTTTTGTTTTTCTAAACCTAGATCTATCACAATTTTCATGATGAGGTAGATTTGTACCGCCAGCACTGGTGGCGATGCAATGGCCCCTGTCAAAACAGAAAACCTTATTTTGGGTATGTGAAACGTTCAATGAATAGAGCACCCTCTGCACGAGACTTCTGGTGGGCAGAGCATCAAGAGAAGTGTGGAGGTACATTCATAAAAGTGAAGGAGCCAGAGAACTTCTCTAAGAAATCCAAGGAAAAAAACGAGCCAGCAGAACCTCCAAATTCCAAGTCAACTAACAAAGGTATTTGAAATATTCTTTTCTTTTCCAAACTGTTTCTGTCCTAAGTTCCTTGAATACATACAGGTCCACCCTTAAGTGAGCTTTATGTTACTATTACATAGCAAAGAACAGAGCCTATTTTATATGTGTATTTCTAGGCTCTTTCTCAAGTGTTTGCAGAAGATTTATTTTGCTGCACTGTTTTCAAGCAGCAAACGTTTCACGTGAAGCACAAAATTCTAAGCTCGTGGTTTGTATATGAAAAAGTTACTAGCTTTTCTTTTTTGCAGACAAGAAACGCGTGGATGCTAAGAAAGATCTGGTTCCTTTTAGTGGAAATGGCTATCGGCTTGGAGGAAGAGAAGGTGGACTCTCAGAAAAAAACATAAATTTCATCAGCAGTATTAAAAACAGTGAAAAATCCGATTGGCAGCATCGACCAGCAGGAAGCACAATACCAATCCCTAAAAATGAGATAAAATTTGAAAAATCACCCCGTAACGGTATCTCCTTTCCTTTCTGTACTGATGATACCAGTAAGAAGGTGAACTTGGCTTCGAAGCGTGATTTCCCTAAACTCTCTGTTGCTGATACAAAAGCGTACAAGAATGTTGGCAGATCACCTGTTAAAATTTCTCGTGTTGTGGAAGAGCAATCAAAGCAAGGCTCTGCAAAAGGCAAGAGGGCTTTGCCAGGCTATAATAACAGGCCACCAAAACAAACTTGTTTTGAGCAGACAACAACGGGTCAGGTAGCATCTGAGAAGAAGGGTTTGGAAAACAGAGTGCAGCAGTGGCCAAAAAAGGAAGACAAAACTGCCTTTGAAAACTATTTCATAAAAAAAGAGAGTACTGATACTACTTTAAGCATAAATACACCCATGAAAACCAAAGCTGAATCTACAGTGTCCTCCTCTGCAAGTTCCAGTGCTACTGAACGGAGGGAAAAAACAGTCAGTTGTCCAGTTTGCCAGGCTGAGGTTTTAGAGCCTAAAATAAATGAACACCTTGATTCTTGTCTTGCATAAAGCCTCTTGGACAGCTACCTTGAAAAAAATAAACCAAGGCTGAAAACACTGCTTGAAAACTAGTTTGCTCAGGGTTTGCTTAGCTGTAGTTGTTTCTTTGTGTGCCTGTCCTGAACTGCAATTTGAACTACCATCAGCATGCTGAAGAGTAAGTTCTGCGGAGCTGCACATCAGCACTGACTAAAAAACTAGCTGCTAGCTGTGCTCCAAAAACTAATGCTCATATTTTAGTAGGTGGATGCTTGTGCTAACGTTCGTATTGCACAACCTGGGTATTGCAAGAGGAGGTGGATACTTGCTGAACTGCAAGTTTTCAAGGCAGTTTTTAAAATGAAGACATTTTAAATCTGCTAGTTTCTTTGTTCCTAGGACCATTTTTTATGTATTTTTGGCTGTTCTTAAAGTTAACCACTTATAATAGATAAGCATTGTTTACTGTAACATAGTTAAACACCAGATAGTTATAGAACAGCAAGAATTTTGATTAAGCCACTGTTAAACTCTCAGGTGGTGTTTTTCACCTCCTTCTCACCTGTGACCTTTTAGAGAAGATAGATGTGAATGAGAAACTCACAGGAAATCCAGAGGGGCAATAAAGATGCTAAGAAATCAAACACAGAATACTTGGAAGATTAGGAGGAGGCTCTAGGCTATAAGGGCTCAGTTAAATAACGCGGCTTTGTTTCCAAGAGGATTTGAAAGCTGGCTATTCTGTTAGAAGTTGCAGTGGTCAAATGCAAGCTAATGAACTTCAATCTTCCGTGTATCTTTTGGCCAAGGATCAGCTAGGTTCTCCGTCCACTTTTTTTCTGATGTTTTGCACAAACTTTTTGAAACCTTACTACTTCTCAGCACACAGGTATTATGTACATGAGTAACTGCCCCACGTGGGCTGGCTCTGGTAAGTGAAAGTGAGGAATATTGGTAGCAATACTGGTAAAGACAGTTTCTGGCCATGCCATAACAGGCTTCACAGTTTGTCATTTTTCAGTTAAGCTTCCAGTGCTTTACAGACCAAAATGGCATTGAATTGACATTACCTGACAGTCTTTGTTTTGCTGATTCAGTAAGTCAGCCAGTTTGGTGTTTAGTATTCATCAGGCCAGGCAGTTGAATGCTAAAGCCATTGTGCTGTGAAGTTCTGAATGCTGAGCAGATGTGTATTCTGTATAAACTTCCTGAAATGTTTACCGTTCTTCTTGCTGCTGAAAGTACTTAACTGGTTAAATAACTAACAGCTCGATTCCTTACTTGTAAAACTGGTTATAATTATGTTTGTTAGAAAAAAAAATGCTGTTTCATATGATATTGCTGCTACAACTTTAAATGGCTATATTAGCCTTAGATAAAGATTTTATCTTTATATACAATACTTGTAGTTCATAGACTAATAAACAAACTGATGTGCAATAGAATTTGGTAAATTATCTTTACTCTTTTGAAATGGTGGTGTATTTTAAAATTTTGATGCTATGGATGTTTAATATGAATCAGTTTGTTCTTGCATATCCTGAATAAATTGTTAATTTTACATTTTCATTAATCCTGGTCTTCACATGACAATCCTGGCCATCTTACATTACCCATCAGTGCTCTCAATTGCCTATCCAGTAGCTGTTTGGTTTTATACATCCTTTCTATATCGACACTTTCCCTTTTTATACTTCCCTGTATATTCACCAATACCCATTTTTAATTTGGATTGACCTCTGCCATCTCCACTGTATGTTTAGTCCAGTTTAACTTGTGTTGCATTTCATTGGAAAATTCTGATTTTTACACAAACTGCTTCTAAAACTTGATTTGGCACGTTCATTTTTGATACATCCTTCTTAAAACAACAGTGTCTATTCATATTTCCAGTGAAACTTGACACTCACAAGGACAGTATTACTCAGAAGTATTTGGATGACTTTTTTTTTTTTAAACAGCAAGTAGAAAACAAATGCGGGAATTGATCTGTAGTACTCAGTGAATAACATAGCCTATAAAGGGGAAAAATAGTATTATCCCATTGGAAAGTCCCATTTCAAATACAAAATGTCTTAAAGGTGCCCTAAAATATCTTAAAAAAAAAAAAAAAATCAATTTTGAGTCAGAAAACAGTCTTCATATCCACCCAGCTTTTTCAGCTGTTAACAGTTCATAGCCTCATTCTGGGGTATGTTACTGTGAATGCTATTTCAATAAGATGTAGTTCTTGAATAGTTTCCGTTCCACCATTATCATAATGAGCACCACACATGCTTTTTAGAATATGCTAGTAAATTTGGGTCAAAGGGAAGAAATTTTGCTTTGTGTATCAGTTGTCTTTGTCCTGAAGGAGTTTGGAAACTGCCTACAAAAACAGACTGGTAGAGTAATGAATATTGAACAAATTGTGCTCTAAAGTTGCCTTGAAATAGGTTATTGAGCAAGAAATCCTGAAGGTCAAGTATTTTCAAATATATATGTATTTTTTAATCTTAATGGAAACATTATCTAGGAAGTTGGAGCTCCTGTTTCCACCTAAGTAGAATTTTTCTCCAGATTAATAGATGAGCGTTTTGCCAGATGTGTAACAGGAATAGTCTGCTTTATAACATGTTTAAAAAGTGATAATGTGCCATTCTGTACTATATCCCATAGTACAGCCACTGTCTGTATTCACTTGGGATATCTAGGTGCTATAGGAAGTATAATCTTACAGCAAGTTCAACCCTAATTCCTCTGAGTAAGCTGATGAGCAGGCTATTCATGTCTAGGTGGAACTATGATTCTCAGGGGAGGTACTGCAGCTTGCCCTGCATAGGAATTAAGTACCTGAGCCTCCTTCTAGGAATGCTTTCAAGAGAGCTCAATGGTTGTGTAGAACAACCTTCAGCAGGGCTTATGCTATCGTGTGCCACCTGCTGCTGTACCGTGTGGTGATGTGCTCTAAAAAAAACAAGAGGCAGGGAGGGATTAGTTGTAACTGGGCAATTCGTGAATAATCCCAGAAATGCGAAGTGGCTTTTCAAACTTCAAGCTTCTCTTCTCGCAGCAGCAAGATGTACTCTGGAGTAAAATTCTTACGTGGATTTTTTTTCCTTGTGTGTTCTGAAGCCCCTTGGTTCTGTTGCACTTTTCCATCCACACAGAGGATGCAAGCCAGCACTTATTAATTTTTTGCTCTCAAATATTCAAGTTCTGACTTGTGTCTCAACTATTACAGTTGCTTTGAAGTCTGAAGATTGATTAAGCAATTTGTTTGTATATGAACTCGAAGCCTCTACATTAAATTGCTGTTAAAATGTAAATTATAGGTAGACAGCCGTGGAAGTGTCTTGCACTTCAGTATGTTGTGTACTCCGATATACTAAAAAACACCAAGATGCCAGGCTGTGTAGGACTCCTTGGGATTCTCCGGTGGGCCATTAGGTGGCACTCCTTACACTTACGGACTCTATTTCTCCTTCCCAGCCTGTACAGAGGAAGAGCAGGAAGTGTGGAATTAGCACCTTCTTGTTCCACCTACACCGGCACTCCAGGCTGAAGGTGGCTCAGGGCCCCAGGCTGCACCACAGCTGAGGTAGAGGAGAAGGAAAGGCAGGGTGAGGAAGGGAAGGGAGGTCTGCAGCCAGCTGGGAGCTGAGAAGCAAAGTGTACAGCTATGTGGCTTTCCTCTGAGCGTTCAACTTCTCTGTGAGAGGGACTTGGAAGATGAAAGAGGAGCTCCTTTTCAGCAGCTCAGTGAATAATGCAAAAGGCATCCTTCTGTGCTGCATGTACACCATGCCTCTTGCTGTGATTTTTTTTTTTTTTTTTTTTTTTGTCAGAATTTGGTATCAATCCAGCTCTACAAGAGAGGCGGGACTGAGCTGTAAGGAGCCAGAGAGGGTCACAAAATAAAAAAGCTTATCTCCTGCTCCTTGGCTAAGCTTGGGAGCCAAACGGGTGTGACAGGCTCAGGACAGGGTAGTGTGTTGTAGGTGTGTAAAAGCTTTAAAAAAAAAAAAAAAAAAAAAAAAAAAAGGAAGAAGGTCATGCCCTTAATCCCTCACTTCCCTTTTAGATTCTGCCAGCCCGTTTAAGACTAGATTAAGTTTCTAAGAAGGTGCAGCAGCTTGGCCTGAATATCTCGCCTTGTCTCTGTCCCAGCTATTCCCTATTGCTTGCATCATTTCATCCACGTTCTTTTTTGTCTCAGACCTGTCATTTCAAAAACTGCGAGGCAATGAGTGTTTGTGCTGGAAAGATGTGCAGAAGAAAAGGATCTTGGGCTGCTGGTCAAAGCTCACCTGAACATAAAACAGCTGTGTGCCCAGGTGGCCAGGAAGGCAGACGGCATCCTGGCTTGTATCAGGAACGGTGCAGCCAGTGGGACCAGGGAGGTGATCGTCCCCCTGTGCTCTGCTCTGGTGAGGCCGCACCTCGAGTGCTCTGTTCAGCTTTGGGCCCCTCACTACAAGAAGGACATCGAGGCCCTGGAGCGTGTCCAGAGAAGGGCTACGAAGCTGGTGAAGGGCCTGGAGCACAAGGCCTGTGAGGAGCGGCTGAGGGAACTGGGGTTGTTTAGTCTGGAGAAGAGGAGGCTCAGGGCAGACCTCATTGCTCTCTGCAACTGCCTGAAAGGAAGGTGTGAGGAGCTGGGGACCAGACTCTGCTCACAGATAACTAGTGACAGGACTAGAGGGAATGGCCTCAAGCTGTGCCAGGGGAGGTTCAGGTTGGAAGTGAGGAGACATTTCTGCTCAGAAAGAGCAGTCAGGCACTGGGACGGGTTGCCCAGGGAGGTGGTGGCATCACCGTCCCTCTGGGGGGTTTTAAGGAAAGGTTGGACGTGGTGCTTAAGGACATGATTTAGTGGGTGACAGTGGTAGTAGGGGGTGATTGGAGCAGATCATCTTGGAGACGTTTTCCAACTTTAATGATTCTACAATTTTATTCAACCAACAGCCATTTTGGGTCTTTCTTCTTGATAGGGGCTTCTGCTCTGCCCCCAGGAGGGTTTTGAGGAGAACCGTGCCACGGCTGCCCCGCTTGGATGTGGCTCTGGCCACGGCTCCCTCTCACTGAGAAATCCAGGGCACAGTCCCAAACACGGGGGGCTCAGGCCCACCGCCCCGCTGGTCAGACAGACCCCCTCTGCAGACTGCAGTGGCAGCAGCAGGCTTCGAAGCCCAGCTGCCCGCGTCCTCCCCAGCCTTGCCATGGCTTTGTTGCCTGCCCATCTCCCGGCAACAGGCCCTGTGACCTCAGACCTGGGTATAAAAGCAGGCTGCGGCTGGGCACCGCCGCTAGTGCTGTTGGTCACTGCCGCTAGTGCTGCTGGTGACTGCCTCTAGTGCTGTTGGTCACTGCCTCTAGTGCTGTTGGTCACTGCCTCTAGTGCTGTTGGTCACTGCCGCTAGCGCTGGTGGTCACTGCCGGAGCTCTGCTCAGCGTGACAGCCATCCCAGTGTCAATTTGTGTTCACCAGGAGAGAGCAGGATGAAGTTCATCCTGGCTCTCCTCCTGGTCACGGCTCTGGCCGTGGCTGTGTTCCAGGCATGTGGCCTTGGTCTCTGCGGCCACCACTGCTGGGAAAGGGTCAGGGTCAGCCGGAGCCTAGGTGCCAAGCACCAGGTCTCCAACTGGCCCTGCAGCCTCGGGCTTTCCAGCTGCCCCAGCCGGATCCGGCTCAGGCTGAACTCCGTGGACCCTTCAGAGGGCCCAAAGCTACATCCCATCGGCACCAAGCGCCAGCCCTCCGACCTGCCCTACCCCCTGCTCCACTTCTGGGAATACCTTGCCCTGGGCGGGAGAGTCTGGCTGCTGTGCACTCACTGGGACACCATCTGCTCCCTTGGCGTGGGGCTGCTTGCCCACAGCCTCTGGAGAAGAGTAAAGAGACGGCTCAGACAGGTGAGTGCTGGAGACGCCGCGTGCAGGAAAGGGCCAGCTGTTGTGAGCCCCCACGGCTGCCCGGAGCAGTCCTACGAGGCTGGAAGCTCCGGAGGAAGCCGAGCCCAGCAGGACAATTCGCCACCTCGTGAGCCCTCATCCCTGCCCTTCACTGTGCCGCTTCTCTTGTTGCTTCCAGGGCATGGGCCGGCGGGCCTCAGCTTCCTTTTGGACAGACCGCCGGGGAAAGGACGCTCTGGATGATGGCGCCTTGCTCGGACGGACGGAGGCTTGGGGCAGCAGTCATGTGGGAGGCAGTGGGGCAAGTGAGGGCTGCTGTGTGTGGGGTGTAGAGAACACACCTGCAGAGGAACATTCCTTGTATCAGGAATGGTGTAGCCAGCAGGACCAGGGAGGTGATCGTCCCTGTAGGGGGATGGTTGGACCTTGTGATCTTGGAGGGCTTTTCCAACCTTAATGATTCTGATTCTGAGTTTGCCCAGAGGTGTTGGAGTCTCCCTCCTTGAAGACAAACCCTGGCTGAGCAGCTGGGTCAGGGTGACTGCTCAGGAGTAGGGATCTGTACCAGACCTTCTCCAGGAGCCACTTCCCACCTTCACAGTCCTGATATTCTGCCTTACAACCCCATGAGCACTTCAGGATGGACGGAAATCACAGCTGAATGCAGTTGAGAT